CTCCCGCATGCCCTCGATGGAGGGGTATCGCCCACCTGCTGTAGCAGGTATCGCACCTGCTGGTGGGTGCAGCTCCCGCATGCCCTCGATGGAGGCTTGAGCACGGATGTGGCTGCTACGGGTTCCCCGTAATACTATAATGACAATAAAAAAGGCCTGAAAGGCCGTCCTGTCCAGATTTGACAGGTAATTGAATTGGTTGGGCTTAAAGAATTAGCCTTTAAAAAAAAAAAAAAAAAGTGAAAAAAATGATCTAACCGTGCCACCAATATTCCTAAAAAAAAATTAGGACGCCCTAAATCTTATGGGACACTGTAAGGGGGGTCTAATGAGATCCGAAATGAGGAGAGAACTTTTTTTTTTTTACTTCTTTTTTTTAAGCCCAGGTTGTTGTAGAGGTGGGATACTAGACAAATGACAGTTACCCTCAGTACTCGGTCACTCGGTTGTCCAGCTGAGGAGAGAATATGTTGATAAAAGGGGCGCACAAAAATAGTCGGACAAAGATTTTTTAAAACCGAGATCATGAAACGGGTTGGAAAAACAGAAGTGAGGGCATACTCACTCTAGGCCCTCACAATCACAGAATCACAAAATGAGCGGCGAGATTGAGTCCTTTCCAAAAGGAGGACTCAATTTCGCTGCTCATTTCGCGATTTTCCTCCTACACATGTCATCATGCTCCGCTCCCCTTCTCCCGTTCTGGTCTATCCACACAAGACCCGCTATCGAATGTGAGCATCGCATTTTTCATGGTTTTTCGTTTTGCCCGCCACATTTGGTTGGGCCCAGCCCGGACCCACAATGTTTTCCCAAGACTGACTGCGGGTCTTGCGTGGGAGCGCCACGCGAGACCCGCTATTTGATTATGTAAGAGTAAGGGAAGGGATAAATGGAGAAATCGTCTTTTCGGCACATCCCAAACCTCGCTGTGCAGACATAACCCCTTTTCGAGAATGCAAGGGTTAGCAGTTACATGCATAACCCCTTTGGAGAATGCAAGGGTTATAGCAGTCACCAGTTAACCGAACAGCAGCTTGTGTGAACACAAAGTCGATGTCAAACGGAACAGCTTGTTGAAACACAAAGTCAATGGCAAACAGTTGCCTTCGTTTTTCTAAAAAATTATCAAAGAAAGAAACGTGAACATGGACGGAAACGGAGTACATATGCATATGCATGCACATACGTATGTGCGTAGGAACACACACACACACACACACAAACACGCCACATGAATAGGTACATGCGCACATTTGTGCATGCATAAACACCAATATAGATGCCGACGTACGTACGCACGCATACATTACAGTCAGATCCGCTGCACAGCTGAAACGGTCTCCTAAATACCTGAAAAAAGAGTCTTCGAAGGTGCTTTCATCTTTCATGGTGGACGCTGGGCCCGGTTCCCAGTTTGTGCCAATTTGTGAGGATATGGTTGTAATAACCGTTGTATCTATGGGACGCTGGACTCGGTTTCCAGCAGGTGCTGCTCCCCACCAATAGATGGAGAAAAATGGTGGTTTCTCTGCGTTCCGTTTCACTTTCCATTTCATCGTTCCCCCACCCTTTGCTTCGTTTCATTTCATTTCTCTTGCTCATTTACACAGTTGTCTTTGCTTTTGATGGTTGGATTCTTTCTCCTTGTCACACTTGCATGATCTTGATGCCATTTGTGAAAAGATAATCATCACCATTACGACGACATCCAATCAACAACGTGCTGCTTTTGATGCTTGGCTTTCTTTCTCCTTTTCGCGCTTACATGATCTTGATGCGATTCGTGAAAAGATAATCATCACCTTACATCATCTTGATGCCATTTGCGAAAAGATCATCACCACCAATACGACATCCAATCCACAAGGTGCAAGTGAAGTTCTCTACCAGGCAAGGCGACAACCAGGTGCCCGATGTCTTCTCAACGGAATAGAGAAAGACGGGCGAGAGCGACAAGACAAGCATGCAGATACACATACATACACAAAGTCGAATCTTCTGTGCACACCAAACACCCGCAAGCCAGACATGCACGCACACACACACACATGCAAGCGAAGTCCAAAAATCACTTACGGAGCAAAACAATAAGGAAACAGCACACCTAGCAACACTGGCACGGTCTAATCATCTAATCGACGCGGGTGAAGCAACGAAATTCAGGTATACCATACACGCAGGTGAGAGAACCGAATGCCAATATGCAGAGGGAGCCTGCGACAGAAATTGGACACACAGGTGGGGCTACTCCACTGCTCACCTGAGGGCATACTCACACTGTCACCTATTTTTTGCAAAACCGCAAATTATACGTGATTTCTTGAGTCACAACAAGGGGCGCGTATGTCGCGTTATCACGCAAAAGGGCACGTATATGTCAGCGGCGTGGACACGCCTGGGGTTGCAAAATCGTATTTCTATTTCTGCTGTTTCTTTCTGGGAAAAAAAACACAAAAATTCACGGTGTGCAGGGTTGTAGAATTCGATTTTGCAAAAATATGTGCACGAGGATGCACTGAACCACATTGTTCGTCATCTCAAGCACGTACACAACAATGAGAGATCACACAAAAATCCACACTGGAGACCAGAGATGCAAAGTCCAGATAAGCACAGCTTAGAAATTCCAGCAAACTTTCGTATTAAGCAGTTTCAGAGTTCCAGTCACCATGCTGGCAGGGTTCACAGCTATCTCCTCTTGATTCAGCCTGTTCTCATCTTATTTTCAATCTGCAATGGGACGCTGGACCCATTTTCCAGCAGGTGATGCTCCCCACCAATAGATGGAGCCCCTCCCCGGGTGCTAGTGGTGTCTGCTCTTATCAGCACC